ACAAAACGATAGAGTAAAGTACCTAGTTGTTCCCTTAAGTCACTTACCATTGCAATCTTCATACTCCTTCCACTCTTTCACAGCAACATCTACCACATCCTTCACAGGCCTAAGGATATTTTGGAATACCCAATAGTTCCTCGATTTCCAAATCCACCAAAAGAGATAAGTTGTGAGACAGACCCTAGCATCAGTGGTTGATCCTTGCTTAAGAGAACAAATTTTGGTCCACCAAACTTTGAAGTCCTTTGCATCCTGCTCCAAACCATGAGAGTGGAGATATAGCCCAACAAGTTTGGCTCTGGTACTGTGAAAGAACAAGTGTTCTAAAGTTTCTGGGGCCCTTTCCACAAGTTTTGCAAATATTATCAAGGGGCACTCCTTTTTTAATGAGATTGCAGTTGACTGGAACAAGGTTAGAGTAGCATTTCCAGAGAAAATGCTTCAGCTTACCTTTTATCTTCAAACCCCAGCTCCTCTTTCTCACTTATTTTGCAGTTAGATGCTCCCAACTACTTTCAGGGTGATCCAACTGGCTCCATTTTTTTCTTATAAGCTTAAGGTAAGTAGAAGCCATTGTTAATTCCCTTTTGGAGTTCCAGTCCCAATAGACTATGTCCTTTGCTGTAGGGTCAATGTTCTTGATACGTAAAATGGCTACCCTCTTCTGCTCATTGAATGTCTCTTCTATTAGTTTTGTGTTCCATCCTCTACCTGTGTAGTTCTGTAAATCCACCACCATCTTGATCCTAGAGTTTGCAGGCCTGGTTACAGGTTTGTACCCTGTAAGAGTGGGTATCCAAGGATGTTCCCACACTTTGATTGATTTACCATCTCTTACCTCATATCTGAGCCCTTTGACCAAAGCTTCTCTTGAACCATCCAACTATTGCAAAGCCATGAGCCTGCTTGTGAGTGTTGAGCTGTTAGGATTGTGCCATCTGGATAGTATTTGGCCTTCAGAATTTTACTCACAAGTAGGTTTGGCTTGGTGTATAGTCTCCATAGTTGTTTGGTACTTGGAGATTAGGCCACCAAACTCCTTAGGAACTGCAAGAGTACTCCATGCTTTCCAGAAAATGCCTCTTTTGTTAGCACCAGAATTCCACCAAAAGGTTGCAAAGAGCTGAGAAATAGAATTACACATGGTTTTTGGCAAAATGAAACAGGACATAACATAGATTGGTAATGCCCCAAGCACTGCGCCTTTAAAAGGACTTCTTTCCCTGCATTTGTCAAAAAGTTATTTTCCCAATTCTAAATTCTCTTTTTCACACTCTCAGTCACAAAAGCAAATATTTCAAGTTTTGACCTTCCCACTCCCAAAGGCAATCCTAAATATTTAGAAGAATTGTGATGAGATATACCAAGCAAAGTCTGACAAATGGAGTTTTTAAGAGAGGTTGAAGAATTTTTACTGAAGAATATAAAAGACTTTTGGAGGGAAGGATAAGAGAGGCAATTAGCCTATTTCTTGCGCGTACCATTTCAGTGTTTTGAGAAAAGGGAACCTAGAATGCTTTAAGGGAAAAATGCAACAATCCACTATTCATCTATAATGAGGGGCGAATTTAGAATATTTAATTGGGGGACTAAATAATTTTCAATAATGGCGTACTTCATTAAAAAGACAAAGTTGCATTTCTAGAATAGAAAAAGAAAAAAGTAGTTCAAGAATAGAATTGTGCTCGACATTCTCTCAAGTCATGAAACCCATCAATGATTGACTCCGTAGTAATAGATTATGCAATTTCCCTTTCAACAAAGGTAGTCAATGAATTTACAAGAAAGTCATCTTCCATTTTACTTTGAAGTTTGGATTTAACGATAGCCATAGACAAAAATGCAAGCTCTGTGGTCGCCGTAGACACAAGAGGAGTAAGAATCGACTTTATTAATCTATCAACCAATGGATATATCAAGAACTTTATACTTTTCGCCATTCATTGGCATAAATCAGGGATAGTGCACAAATTTTAAAATTTTGAATGCTTGAAAACATCAATCTCATTATGTCGTCTATATCGAAAGGCAATCGAGATTTGCAAGGATCAAACATAGAGCTAAGAACAAGTAGTTGCACGGCATGCTCACTAAATCTGTTGTTTATTTCTTGCAGTTGACAATCTATCGTAACCGTAAATATATTAATACGGTAATGATCACCGACTGTAAATAGATTTTGCTTGTTCCGAGATCATCCTCCTATTTCAACATATAAATCATTAACATCGGGAATATCTATCGCACGACTTTCACAAAAAGACTTTACCTTGTCAAAGAGACTGTCATATCTATCATCTCTCAGTTTTAGGATTAGACTGTCATAGCATTCAGAATATCTTGAGATTTCCGTTGGAGAGCTTGACAAAACGTATATGTTATTTCAATTATTTCTTTCATACGATGCAAGATGTAGACGAACTCGAAAGAGTCAAAGAAATGTAAGCCGAATCTGTATCGGCTCGTTGATCATAATTGGCCTCATCAATTATGCACAACAAAACCGAGCAAGCTGCAATAAACATCTTCAACAAGCTAGAAATCGACCTCAAGTACGAACCCCACCTCGTATATCCTGCTCGCTGTAAACTATCAATTTGATTTTTTCCAGTCCCTTTTTTAAGCTCATCAATAGAAATCAAGTAAGCAATATCAGAAGCTTGAGCCACTTTTAATTTATCGACACATTTACAAGAAGAACCCACCACATTATAATGAAATTTAACTTTGTAAAAAATGGAGGACAGGGATAACTTCTCTAGATATTTCAACCAACTCCAATTGCAACCGATGAGCAAAACAATGCACATAATATGCATACGACATTTTTTAGCAATTAGTGCCTGTAATCTGTTGAATTCACCACGCATATTACTCGCCCTGTCATATCCTTGACCCCGAATATTTTGAATGTCAAGATTGTGACGAGAAAGGGTGAAAAATATTGCATCTTTTAGAGTTATCTCCTTCGTATCACACACATATAAAAGATCAAAGAAGCGCTCCCGATCAAAACTACAAATATCAACAAATCTCAAGACGATACCCATTTGCTCCATTTTCGATTGATCTCTGGCCTCATCAACAATAATGAAAAACTTTGCGTCCCTAATTTCTTCACGAATCATTTTCTTGATCATCATTGAGATAACAAGAAAAATGTCATTTTGGACAGATGGGGATGTATAAAAGGCATTTTGAGGTGTTTTGTCTAATACGACATTTGCATAATTTTCATTAAGCTTAGACATTGTACTAAAAAAATCAAGAAAATTTTCACAATTAAGAGATTCTTTACTTTCATCATGACCTCTAAAAGTCAAACCCTGACTTGCAAGATATCGGGCAGAAACAATTGAAGCATCAAGCTGTAATATATGTTTTTCAACTTGTGTAGAAAATTGTTTTTCAATAAGTGGCCGAACATGTTGTGTTTGATTCATTAGGTCTCACAATGATATCTCAACAATTTGATGCAACGAATTATGATCTTTTCCAACGTGATTTAGAAATGCACAATCTTTTTCATTGCGTACTTTTTTGCAGTTTCTGAACCCATCAACAAAAAAAGTATTCTGACTGTGATGCTTACATGGTTTGTTGAACAAATAGCAAGGTAAACAAAAGTAATCGGTATTTTTTCAATATTGTTTCAGTTTAAATCTATATTTTTAAAGATCTTTTTGTGTTTGACAAATATTTTTATTCCCTTCAAAAGTAGTTATTTTTGTTCTTTTTTTTTGTCGTTGTTGTAGGTGCAAACACTAATTCTCATTTTGACTTAGTCATATGTTTTAAGATTTTTTTTTTTCAAAATAATATATATATATATATATAATTTCTAAAATTTCTAAAATTTGGTAAAAATATTATTATTATATAAATTTTTCTACTTATTTAGTTATTAAAAATATTAATAAAATATTTATGATGTTATTTTATAATTATATTAATTTTAAGAAAATAATATTAAATAATAGAACAATTATATAAAATAAAAAAATAATTATAATATAAAAAAAAGTAGATTGTTAACCAAAAGATGTGATTGTGTGTGAAACAAATAAAGGTTCCATACTAATGTAAAAATGGGTTAACAAAATTACTGTAAATACTCTAACATGTTTTTCGATGTTTAATAATTTTCTATATTTATAATAATGTACAGTATTAAAAAAAAAGTAAACATATCAGTAAAATTGTTGTTAGAAAGACCTAACGATTAAACATTCATGCTGATATGGGATATTATACCTAAACGAGTAAACCGGTTCACTAGGCCGGTCGAACGAGTCAAGCAAACTGAATGGGCCGTCATGGCCGAACAGACTCGAGCAGAATGGTCGTGGTCGAACACCACGAGAATAACGTACGGGGGATTATAGTACGGGGAGGGCATGTTAGTCCCAGGTTCACGGAGGATCTGGTCGAAGATCGACCTGTCGAACAAAGGATCATTTGATCGACCACTTCATAGATGGAGAACAGTCAGAGGATCGACCTAGGTGTGGCTGAACGCAAGAGCCTTCGAGGAGATTTCAGAGGAATCTTCACCCCATGTGCGAAGGGCACGTGGCTTGACTTGATTCGCGGATGGCAATAACTGTATCTGACACACATACACTGTGTGTGTACGAACGGACAGGTCCGGCAACTTTGGGCAGCCAGCTCAGCAAATCCGTGCAGCCTCTAGAAGCAGGTACCTCACCCCTATATATAGGGGTGAGCTTTATGATTGGAGCACGATTAATTTATTTTT